CTATCCTATATTGTACTACTATTAGCCTAAACTACATATAATAAACTGTAAAACAGGGCCAACAGTAAATACCCCTGACACACACAGTAGCATGCATGACTCTCAAATCCATTATGCCGTATGGAAGAATCTGGACTCAAAGGCTGTGTACTCTGATTCTGTTGATATGACATCCTGGAAAAGCAAAATTCTAGGGATGGAAACAGATCAGTGGTTGCCAGAGTCTAGGGGTTGGGGGAAGGGATTGACTGGAAAGAAGCTCAAAGTGGATCTGAGGACTGACTGAACTAGTCTATATCTTGATTTTGGTGGTGGTCACATGACTATCGTGTTGGTCAAAGCTCCTAGGACTGTACACAAAAAGGTTGATTTTACTTTATATACATTATACTGGACAGAAAAGGCAAAATAATAGTAACAGCAATAGTAATAATCATACTTGACTCACAGAGTTTATTCAACCATATTCAGTGAGTACTAAGGAGTATCTACCTCCTGGGCACCAGGCACCTTCTAGTCACAGAGAACACAGCAGACGAAATTCACGGAGCTTCCATGCAGGTGGAGGAGACAGACGCTCAGTGGCTTAGACAATAAGATAATTTCAGATGGTGATTATGTTTCATAAAAAGTTAAACAGGGCAGTGTGGTTCAAAAATGATCAGACAGGCTATAACTAAAGCAAGACACAACTGTGGAGGGTTCTTTACACCGCAGGTAGTGTTCTATTATAATTATGTTGTTATATATTATACTATTATAATTATGGGTATGAACTCACTTTATCTTGGAGCAACTCTCTGAGAAACTGTATTGTATCTTCCCCATTTTAAAGATGAAGGAACTGAAATTAAAGAGTTAAATAAGGGGCTCCTGTCTGGCTCAGCCGGGAGAGAAGGCAACTCTTGATCTCGAGGTGGTGAACTCAAACCCCATGTTGGGTGTAGAGATTACTTAAATAACTAAATAAAACAAATAACTAAATAAAAAAAAGAGTTAAGCAATTTCTCTGTGATTTCACAATGCCAGAAAGAATATAACTGGGCATTGCACTCCAGCATCTGACTGAAGGCTACTCTTTTATCCACCACTCATGAAAAAAGTGTATTTATCTAGCTCCACATCTGGCACAGAGTCAGTGCTAAATGAATAGCAGTGGTTACTCTTGATAGTTCAGACTTTCATTAGGGTGCAACTTCTTTATATTTTTCTCCAGGGACCAAAGCGGATGTTGGACGCTCAAGTGCAGACAGACCCCGTATCCATCGGACCGGCTGGCAAATCCAAGTAAACAAATCACTACAGTTCCCACCAAGTTGTCCCGCAGCAAGATGTCTTCTCCCTGCTCCGTTTCCCTCCCCGCCCCCCAGCCCACTCCATGTACATAGTCTTCTAATGGCCATCAAATGAAAATCTGCCTACAAATTAAGCCTGAGCTGTTGTATATTGAGGTGTATTATTTACGTCTCGGGTCCAGTCTTTTCCAGTAAATAACTGTAAAGATGGTTTAGCAGGTTAACCGGTTAGGTTGGAAGAGTTGAAGGCAGCCAAGCGGAGAGTGGAGGGCGGAGGAATGCGTCCTGGTGAAGTTATGAAAATGGCAGTGTTGAGTAAGTTGCAGAGGGAACTAAGCTCTGTAGTAAACACACACTCCTCTTCTGAGCTCCAAGAGGAGAGACGAAAATCCGTTTAAGTTCACGTCTGGGGGAGGGACAGCACGGGCCCTATGCTGGGAAGTTGCCAGTTTCCTGGAATGGAATGCGTGGGGAATGAAAAAGAAATGGGTAAGAGTTGCTTTTCGAATAGGGTCCTTGAAAGTTATGGAGGAGAAGGAAAAGATTGACCGCAGAGGGTTTGAAGTGATTTGGGGAAACAGTTGCGCTCAGGGACCAGAGAGAAAAAAACAAAAAAAAAAAAAAAAAAAAAAAAAAAAAGGCGCAAAATAAATGAAGTTGCAAGTTTACTTTGCGACACAAGGGGGCACCGAGGTCTCCGTTTTAATCCTGCATCCTGTAGCCCTAACAAAGATGTGGCCTCTGCAGTCTTACATTATTAATGCTTCTCAGATGGTTGAGGGACTCGCTTCATCTGTTCTGTCTGACACTTATCTCAAAGTCTGTCTGTAATTTCCTAATGTTCTCAGGATGTGCTCTGATAAAACCCTCCCCATAACCCCAGTTAATAAAAATTCTCCAGCAGATTATTCAAATACCCGACGTTGCTTTTTTTTTTTTTTAGTCAATAGGACCAGGAGTCTATTAAAATGTAATTCAAAATAGCATATGATTGATTGATATCATGTATACTGTATCTTTCTTTTTCTGATTTAATAAAAAAATACATTTACATCTAAAGCATCTTTTAATTTTCAACTTTTAAAGCAGGTCTCTTGTCCTGAGACGGCTTTATAACCCACCTTCCACGGTGTAAACAGCCATCTTTCTCCATCTCCTCTTCCCTCCCAGGTGCTCCTAGAGTTTTCTCCTTGTATATGGGCACACGCACATGCAAATGTGTACACACATGTATTTGCGCACACACACACACACACACACACACACACACTCGTACTTCTATAAAAGTACTGCCTTAGGCCGGGCTGCTGGAAGCAGAGCCTGAGACAGGGATTCAGAAGCATGTGACGTCACCCAGGGAGGACTTGGAGGGGGCGGGGAGTGGAAGTGAACACCTGGGCAGGGAGGGCGCTGGGCAAGGCTTGGTCTCAACTGGAGCTGAGTTTCATCCTGATCTCCCAGGGAGCTCTGGAGCCTCAACTGCACCCTACAGTTGGGTTCTTTGAGCCAAGGGGGCCGGCCTTTGTACCTTTGTTGATGAGTGACGGGCCACCCTGGGAAGCGGTGGGACGCGCCAGGTGCTCCCGCTAAGCTGAGAAGCTGGCGTCCCTTAACAGGTAGAGGTTGAGGGCCTGGGCAGTGTCCACTACAAACGCACAGGATAGTCAGATATGTGTTCATTCCCACGTAGGGACACACCCATACATATAAACCCGCTTTACACACAGAAATGGAGAAATGCACGCACACATTCATACTTATATATTACATACAGGAATGATGCACGCACATATTCACAAGCACACACACACATAGACACATGCAGGAAACAGATTCGCTCATCACGCTGACTCTTGCAAAGCCGTCATGCGTTGATCTGAAGTAAACCTTGACTCGGCTCCTCTGACAAGTCTTACATTAGGAAAATAAAACCATAGCTTTGGCAAAAAAAAAAAAAAAAGGCATTTGGAACACATGTTCAGGAAAAGAACGGTATCCCTAAAGAAGCAGATGGGGAGGGGGCGTGGCGTCCGCTGTCGCTCCGGCCAGTGAGCTCCCAGCGTGGGTGGCCATTGCTAGGTTTCAGACACAGATCAGAGGTCTCTTCCTTGCAGGTTTCCCTTTAGCCTCTCCGGACCTGCGGCTCCAACCTGGAGGTCAGTGTCTGTGACTCACCCGGCTGAGGATGACCTCACGCCGCTTCATGTCTGAGCGCTTACCTTGGCGCACATCAGGGAAAAGTCCCCTGGGGGAAGCCCTTGCTGGCTGGGTGACTGTACTCCACCAACACCATCAGAGAACACGGCCCGATTCAAGGAAACCAGACAGCTGCTTATTCCTTTGTCCCCAAACACCAGGGGGGTCGCCTAGTGTGACCTTTGGTGAGCTCTGGGCCATACTAGTCCATTGAGAAAGGTGACAGTTTCATTTGCAAGTTTCACCTCGCTGGGCACAGGGGCTTTTTGCCCTGATGAGAAATGCCCCCAGGCAAGACTGAGTCACAATGCAGAAGGAGCCCTCCTCCCATCCCCCCACCTCCCTGGGCGGGGGTGGGGGGGGCATATTTTTTTAAAAATCTTAAATGAAGTTCTTTGCTGAGAACCTCCCTGCAAAGCCAACACTTTCTGTAACAGTTTCAATCATTCTGGCCAAAAAAAAGAGAGCAATCATTAATGAAATTTCTTGGATTTTTTGTTATTGGCATTTTCAAAAGGCAAGAAAACTGAAGCCAGAGTAGACTCAGAAAATGACTTATTTGGGGGGTTTGAAATCTAGTAGGAGCCTCAGAAGCACGTTAAAACCCCATTTTTGAGTTTTGATGGTGGGGGGGAATGTGTGTTATTTTGTTTTTTAGTTGGGAGCTCATTCCTGATGCATTTATTTACAGACAATACTAACTTCCATACCTCCTCCTGAACTCCTGTGAAAAAGAGCAGAAACTCCCCAGATGAGCTCAGGAGAAGGCTCTCAGTCTCAAAGAGCCTTGAGGGACTGAAGTTCCTCAAAATCAGAGCCCAGAAAGGCCACTTGGACGGCAGAGCTGTGCCCGTGGAAACAAGAAACACACACTCTGAAACTGAAAGGGAATTATGGCCTGCAGGAGGGGCCAGAGGGGCCTCGTTAAAAATTTACCAACTCACTTGTTTATTTACTTTTTATTTTTAGGTGCACAGGGAAGTGTGTCTTCTCCAGTCTCAAGAAGAAATGGCCCTTCCAAGAATTGAGCTTTTGAGCCGCCACGGCCGCCACTGGGGGAAAAACAAAAAGAAAAACAAAACAAAACAAAAAAACCCCACTCTGCTTCCCAGTTGCAGCTGATGGTGACTATTGGACTGATACCCATAAAAGAATTCATTCCAAAGCCCGCTTGTTCACAGCAGCCCGCCAGGTCCCTCGTGAATTCATCATCTAGGGAAGGGGAGGCATACCTAAAGAAATGCCAAAAAACAGAGGGAATAGAGAAAGAAAGTTAAGTTCTTCGGGTTTTGTTGCATTCCTCCAGCTCTTCCCTTGGAGCAAATTATCCAGAATTTCAAGACGCGCACGCACACACAAACGCACACACAATCGCACACACTTGAGCTGGACTGTCCTTGTTTGCTTTCAAACAGTCCAGATGCAAGAGACTGGAATCTCTACTCTGCTGGCTCCTTCTCCAGCTGTCCCCCTCCCCCCCCCCCCCCACCCCAGAAGGGAACAGATTTCTACAATCCGGACCTGACAAATGCCACTTCTAATGCCAAAGAGTCCCACGTGGATCTTAAGCCACAAAAAAGAAAATCAGCTAGCCTTCGTACTTGAAAGACAATTTTGGAAAGGAAGATGATTTCAATGATTAACTCACCCAAGTCGCTGACGCAGGGCAGGCGCTTTGCGGAATGGTAAGAATGATAAGGGGTGGTTTTAAGCATCCTCTCCACCTCCCTTTTGAAGCCTTCTTAAAAGGGGGTCCGCATGGGGAGTAGAAATGTCTCCTCCGCAGGCTAGATCGTCCTCACTCCATCAGTGAACACAAAGTGGCCAACTGGAAATTAACGGGCTCCATTAGGGGAGAAAAAAAATTACTGAGCAGCAAATTCTGTAAATTTGTAATTCAGATCTTAGCGCTGGCCTGAAAACAGGTTGGGATCCAGCCTTTTGCATAAATTGGTGTTCTGGGGAGTTTAACCCTTTCGCCTCTGTTTCTTCTCCCCAGAAAGCTACTCATTTTATCTTCTTCCTCCCCTGGCCCTTTAACTGGCCTTGGCAGACATAGCAACCCAGGCAATTTTACAGAAATAAGGATAATAATAATAATGCTTCACATTCTCACATTCTGCAGTTTATAGAATGCTTTCTGAATACATTATCTAATTTAAAGCTGTATGCCCCTAATGGAACTTAATTGCCACCTTTGTTATATTTTATTATGAGGACACTGGCATGCACCTGTATGCCTTTTTTTTTCTCCAAAGGAGCACTTCTTGACAAAATGGCCCCCAGCTGCATTTCTGCCAATGGCTGCCATTGAAGGAGCTCGTTGCTTTTGTGTTGGGCTCTCACTCAAGGATGTTTTTATTTAAGTCTGGCCACATGGGGGAGTTCTAGAACGTAAGGTGCTACCATCTCCAGCCAAGCCCTTTTCCCTGACTCCCTCATGAGAAGGTTGGGCCGAAAAAGCTCTTAAGAATATGTTTGTTGACTAACTTCTAGAAAGCAGTCAAGTTTAGAATAAGAGGGCCAGCCTGGGCAAGTCAGCTGCTTTGGGTGATTCCCAGTCTGTCAGGCAGAGATAAAGTTCGTTGGTTTGGTTTTTCCATTCTTAACAGCTCAGTCTTGAAAAGAGGCTTAAGAAACGATATGGTGTTGCAAACCATTTGGGTTGGTGTCACTGCAAAGCATATAAATTACCCTCACCGGCTCTTCATACCCCACAATACAGCCTTACCTCTCACGTCTCCGCACGCACCTAGCGGGCAAGTGACTTAACTTCTCAGTCGCCTCCCCAAACAAAGGGGCAGTATTAGTGCCTATTTTGTGGAGCTGGTGGCTGGTGTATAATAAACACGAAATAAAGGAGAGCTGTTATGTCATGGGAAACTTTCAGCACCAAGTAACAGAAAAGTCCCATTCAAAGTGGCTAATAGCGATAATAATAGCAGCAAGGATGTTTATCATTTCATTTAAGAGATGTTATATCACAGCCTTGCTCTGACTCTCTGGACTCTGCCGTGCTCCATGGCTTGACTTCGCCCCGAGATCAGTGCCACATGATAGGTGCAGTTCCAGACTAGGCGATTATGGGATTATCATAATCAGTTTTGATTTATCATTTTGGTGAAATAGATATTTAGAGGCAACTCCAATGATGCAATAAACAGGCAATTATTGGCATCAGTATCTTTAAAATTAGCCATGCCTCAGCCCAAGTATGCCCCTTCGATTCCAACTGACGGGATCTGGGCATTTGTGACACCTTGCCCTTCCAGAACGGGGCCATGAGACTGAGCTCATCAGCACCAGGGACTTTCTTGTGCGTCTCACTCACAGCTCTATTGTCAATGTCTAGCGTAATGCCCAGATGCAGTAGATTTTCAACAAATACTGGCTGACTGGATGTAGTAATCGATAGAAACCCTATGGCCACCTCCAGTGGGCAGTGGGTTGCCTTATGCTCTGGTATGAGTTTATTTTAGCACCAAGTGTTCGATCACTTTAATCAGACATCCACCCTCCCCAGCTGCCCTGCCTAGGGGTTCTCAGAGCATCGTCCCCTAATAATCAGCATAAGCAGCACCCGAGGATGAATTAGAGATGCGAATCCTCAATCCTCAGTCCAGACCCACCGGATCAAAAACTCTCAGGGTGAGGCCGAGCAATGTGTGTTTTAGCAAGTCCTCCAGATGGTTCTGATGCACAGAAATTTGAAAAGCACGGGTCTAGATAGAGCTACCACTCCACTGATCATCAGCTTAAAAAAACTAGCCCTGAAGATGCATGCCAGGTATCATGTGCCACATAAATGACCTTGCTTACTACCCATTTTACAGATGAAGAAACAAAGGCTCAGAGAGGAGAAGCAACGTTGCCCAAGGACACACATGTCAGAGTCAAGGCTGAAACCCAACCTAAGCTCCCACAGGCAGGTTTTTATGCCTGTGGGAAAGATAGTCAGGCCAAAGGACAATAATAATATAATGTATGATAAGTAAATGTAGGGTATGGTGGAGCTCAGAGGAAGGCACTGCTACAAGACTATAGGGGATGGAGGTTGGCCATTTGAGGTGGTGACAGTTGAGGGGATTCACAAAGAATGAATAAGAGTTGGCCAGAAGGGTTCTCAGCAGAACAGGAAGTCCAGAAGCTTTGGGTCTACAGAGACCGTGGCAAGTAGTTCCGCATGACCAGCCTGAGGCCATGGGAAGGACAGATAAGACAGTGGAGACTGGAGAGGAGGCACAGACCAGATCATCGAGGACATGAAACAAGGAGCCCATAACAAGAAGTTTAAACTTTTCCTGAGAAGTAGGAAGGAAAATATATGAGCTGGAGGGTGGCAGAATCCAATCTGTATTTTGGTGGTAGGTAGGATCTAATGTAAACTCAACTCAGCTAATATTCACTGAGTGACCTGAACTCTCTACTAAGTATTACAAATGTAGTTATTTTATTCTTAAGCCTCTTTAAAAGGCATAAGAAATACCTGTTTAGATAATACCTCTCAATAGGGTTGGTCCCTACAAGAATGCTTAAATGCTCATTTCCAAGTGTCATAAATAAGGGTTTGGAATCTGGCCCCTGATCCACCCAGATGATCTGCACTTGCGACTCAAGGCTGAGAGACTGTGAGCAAGTTATTATGCATATAAGAGCCTTAATTTGTCCCTCTGTAGAATGGGAATGATAATAGTACTTAACTCAGAAAGTTGCTAAGAGTAAATAAGACAACACATTTCTAGCTTGTAAGTAGAGTGCCCGGCAAATAATAAGCGCTCGGTGAGCAATATTGATGAGGACACAGATGATATCTGCCCAAGGCAGAACACATGTCTTCACTCTCATGGGCTCAAAGGCCACCCAATCTTTAGGTCTAAACTGTGTGCCAGGCTCTCTCCATCCTGGTAACCAGTGGCTGGCTGGCTCATCCAAGAAAAAAAGAAAAGAAAGAGGAAAGAAGAAAAAGAAAAATATTGATTTTCCCTGATATCCATCTCATTCTAAAGTAACATAGAATTTCTGGAGAGTAGACTCAAGTCTGCCTTTGGCTTTCCTTGACTGTATCTTCTTATAAGAGTAGCCAGGTTGCCTTGGTAGCAGACGCTGTGGGTGGCCCACCTCATTTCTCTTCAGCCCACTTCAGAGTTTGCCTGTAGCACTGAAGGCTCTCCACCTGAAAGATCCCTCCACAATTGGCTTTTCTTTTTTGGTGGTTTTCTCCATGGGCTATGGGAACGTGTTCAACTCACATGCAGGGCATTCTGGAAATGTCTAAAATTTTATGCCCCTAGGGACAGCTTTCAAGCAATGAGGGATTGGAGAGAGCAGATAAATATCTCTGCTTCCCCATCTCGCAGAGGGATACTTTTGAGGGGTCTTCTAAATGCTCTTCAAGGTCCCCAGCAAAACTGAATCCTAGTTGCACACAGTAGTGACATACTCATGAACATACTCTCCCTCTTGGTGCTTCCTGGGATCACCTTCCAAACTCCCTGCCTCCAAGCTCTTGTCTCAGTGTCTGCGTCTAAAGCACAAACATCTGTATCTCACTTAGGGTCCTTGTGCCATGTAGTTCAGTGGAGGAGAGTTAATACGTGCTGGAAGAGCTGAAAAAGTAAGCACGTGACAAGGAGGCCACCCAGAGATTAGACGCAGGAGAAGAAAGTTGCAATGCCATTGGGGCCAGACAGACAGAAGGAAGAGGCGATACTACCAGAGCAAGAGAATCCGGACACTCTGGGGGACATGGAGCACCACATAGGGGTGGGAAATGCTGCCTGAGGGTAGCTGGGACCAGAGTGGGGCCATCAGGGAGCACTGCCTTTCCGCTGACCGGAGGGCATAGGAAAAATACCTGGGAACTTAAATAGAATCCAGTTGGCAATGGAACATGGGAAATGCAGTTCGAAGGGAAACATGGAAAGAGGTATTAATGAGCAATTGCCCAGCACTACCTCAAGCCCTGGTTTGAGAGAAAAAAAGAAAATGAGAAAGCAACATTGATTAGGGCCCTACACCTATCCTGTATCTAAAGAAATGAACATGTCTTTGAATGATCCCAGTAACACCAACTCACTAAACTTCTTTAACTTCACTTTGACATCCATCAAGTAGAGATGACAATGGAATCTACCACGTGGAGATGCAAGGTGGCTTTAATGATCTACCCCACGCCAAGCAGCTAGCACTGTGCGTGGCACATAAGTGTCGAATAAATGCTCATGCTCATTGGAACATTTTGAGATTCGGATTCTCTTTGAGTGTCTGGAAGCCCATTAAAAGTCTTGCTCAAACTTGTTTCTTCCCCTCTTTACTACTCAAAGCCTCAACCTCAATGTCTAGAATCTGCCGCAAGTCTCTTTTTCATTGCCTTAAAAAAATCTTTCCACTTTCACTGAAGTTCTGCCAGTGCTGATGGAGGAATTGCTCTCTCCTCCCCTCTTGACTCCCAGCCCTCTCCCCGAAACTCCCACCCCCTCCCTATCTCCTCTGGCCGCTGGCCAGTTGTTCACAAGGAGCTTAGCAGTTTTGAGGATACAAAAACAGGAAATTATGCACCAGTCCTGACTAAGGCTAAAAACTCATATGCAAACCTTTCATCATACAGATTTCTTCAGCTCCCCAAAACTAGGGCCTTGAAAAATCAGGTCCCTGGCCAAGAGCACTGGATTTGCTTAATCATTTCCTTTGCAAATTTATAACCTCTTTAACCATGAAGAAGTAATGGTGAGAAAGAGGGAGGTGGGAGTTGAAATATTTTAAGTCAACCACAAGACAGGACAGGAAATTCTGGAAAGGGAGGGGATGGTAGTTTTTCTTTAATCCCTTAGTGCCACAGCAGACTAAAACAGCAACTTTGGGAAAGTGACCATTCTAGGAGATTCTTTTACTGTTGACTCTGACCCCAAGTGAGATGTTGTAGCCATCTTCACTCAGAGCTGAATACAGAACGTTAAAGGAGAAAAACTCTGAGATGACCCTTTATTTGACTCAGGCAGCAAACATTTACTGAGTGACCTAGTCTGCCCTTGTGCTGTGTAGAGAGAACTAAGATGGGCTTCCAAACAAGCAAAATAATGTCCCCATTTGCTCAGTGCCAGTAGAAAGTTGACATGCCTATTGGAGGCCGCCTACCAGAGAATCTGAAGTGGCTGACCCGAAGCTGTTCTGTTGTTAAAAATCTCTGAATGACAATATAAGTGGCTTTTTTGCTTTTGGAAATTTCCCCAGCAAATCAGAGCTGTGTACTTTACTAATCCTTAAGGTAAGTCATTATCTTTAGCAGTGATTTTTGTCTGAAATGGGGGACCAGCCCATTAATGTTGACCCAGCAAATAGAATGGGATGGGATGGAATGGAATGGAATAGAATAGAATGGAACGGAAGCGAATGGAACCGAACTGAATAGACTAGACTAGACTAGAATAGAATAGAATATTTCATGATGTATTACACATAATATGGCTAATATTGATTAGTGAAAGTTTAGTTTTGATTAGAATATGTGCATATAGATTCATGAGGTATTTCTCACTTTAGTTTATAATCAGATAACTTTAGAAGCCTCTGGTCTTGCAGCTTAATAGTTAAAAGTGTGGGCTCTGGGGACACCTGGGTGGCCTGTCAGCTCAGGTCATCATCTCACAGTTGGTGAGTTCAAGCCCAGCAATGGTCTCTGTGCTGCCAGCTCAGAGCCTGGAGCCTGCTTCAGATTCTGTATGTCCCTCTCTCTCAGCCCCTTCCCTGCTTACACTCTGTCACTCTCTCTCTCTCAAAACTAAACATTAAAAAAATTGAAAGTGTGGGCTCTAGAGCCTACCAGCATGGGTTCAAATCTCAAGAGGTATACTAGCTGTCTGAGATTACACATATCGATTAACTTCTCTGAATTTCCATTACTTCAGGGATGGACAACATAATAAAGAGAAATATAAAATGTAATATTGGCCATCATAGTCTCTCAGGTTCTAGGGCCATTTATATTCATGAATTGCCATTCTGTCCCCCTATATCTTTCCTTTGGTTGTAGACAGCTGCTAATCTTCTGGGGTCCACTCCTCTTAAGTAAAGTTACTCTGTCTATCTTAAACTCTCTCTCCCTCTGATCTTCTGTCATTCCCTCAACCTCCAGATGCTAACTCCAACATTGTCTAGGGAAAACCAAAGCCATTTAATATGTAAAACTTTTTTCTGGAAAGATGTCCAGATAGCTAGTTGCAGACCATCTCACCTATTAGCAGAAACAAAAGCTAGACAAGAAAATTGGTATGAAGTCATCCTAAAACAGAACCACAGTGCTCCACATCTATTGAAAACAGCAAGGGGACTGAAAAAACTGATGGAAATCAAAGGATAAAACCTTTTTAAAATTAAGACCTGAAAGAAAATAACTACCAACCTGTAATTCTACATCCAGTAAAAATATCCATCAAAATTTAAGATGAAATAAGTATATTTTCAGACAAACAAAAACTGAGTGACTACATTACCAGCAGACTTTAACTACAAGAAAGACTAAGGAAAGTCCTTTAGGAAAAAAGAAAATACTCTCAGAAGGAAGACTAAAATTTTAGGAAAGAATGAAGAGCAGCAGAAGAACAAATGTGTTCTTAAATCTAAATGAATATTGACTGCATTAAAAGATAATAATGTCTTGTGGGGTTTAAAAATATATGTAGAATTAAACTTTATAGCAGCAGTAATGCAAAGATAGGTAAGAGGAAAAGGGAATTAAACATACCTTAAGTTCCTTACATTGCCAGAGAAGTAGTAAAAACACTATTTCATTAGACCATAGTAAGTCGAGGATCATACTTATAATGTGTAGGATAATAAAAAATATGGAAATAACAAGCTAATAGGAGAATGACCTAAAAAAAGATGTCATTAATGTAAAAGTTCATAATAAAGGAAAGCAAATGGAACTCACAACAGGTGGAACTAATTGAAACAGCTAGTAATGTGTTAGTATTACTATGTTAGTGACACATTATTACATTAAATGTAAATGGACTAAATGTAAATGGACTCAAATGAAAAGAGAGATTATCATACTAAATGAATAAAACAACAACTATTTTCTGCTTGCAAGAGACAAACAAGCCTTAAATATGAGTATACAGACAGGATGAAAATAAAGGGTGGGAAAATATATTGGATGCATACACTAATCAAAAGAAAGCTGATTAGTTGCTCTAGTATCAGATGAAGTCAATTTTAAGGTAAGAAACAATATAATAGAAAGTATTTTATAATAACAAAAAGGGTGAGTAACATTGAAAGATAGAACAATCCTAAATCTAGAAACATCTCTGATATAGCCTCAATACATAGAAGGCAGAAGCCACCAGATCTAAAAGGAGAAATAGAGAAATCCACAATCATAGTGGTAGGCTTTAACGTTCCTCTATCAGTAAATAATGGACAAACCAACAGAAATAAATCAATAGGAATAGAAAAATTTTGACGAATGCTATTTAACACACTTGACCTAACTGACATTTACCAAAGTAACTGGTAACCATATTCTTTTTCAAGAGCACATGGAAAATTTACTCAAGTTGACATGTGCTGGCCTACAGAGTAGGTCTCGAATTTAGAAAGTGGGTGGCAGGGCAGGGTTTGCTGATAGATTAGATGTGAGGATGACAAAGAGAGGAGTCAAGGTTGATGATGAAGGACCCAGTGCTCTGAAGTTCAGAGTGACTGATTCATGCTACACAGTTAGCATTTTGGAAGGATAAGGGTGTGGTATCTATAGGTGTGTGTAGGGGTGTGTGTGTGTGTGTATGTGTATGTGTGTGTGTGTGTGTGTGTGTGTGTGTAACAGTCATAAGTTAGTCAGGAGTATTTAGATGTGTGAGTCAAATAGGGAGTGAACCTGTGTCCAACTGAACATGAAGCAATTATTCAAACTTGGTTTCTGGAATATTCCCAGGGTGAAGTTATTTCCTGTTTTTATCACCGTCTTCCCAGTTTACATGTTTGTTTGCCTTATGAACTGGGTTGGCATCATCTGTTTCAGTTTGCAATGGTAGGCATACAGCAAAAACTCCATAAAAATCCCACAGACTTGACAGCCATTTCTGAGAAATGAAGTGGACAGCCCGATTCCTGTCCTCTCTTATCAACGTGGAATTGGGTTTATTCATCTGCTGACTGAGTATCAGCTGTGATTTTGGGTCTGGGAAAGTGATAAACAAGAAAAGCAGAGAAAAAAAAGTGGCAAACAAGAAAAGCAGAGAAAATTCCAGGACAACTGAGGAGGCATCCACTCCAAAAGCCAAGTATCAAGGAAGTACTGTAGGAACTCCCACACATAATTGCAACATATACCGTCATGTGATATGTTTGGAGTAGCAGTTGAGAACATTCTGGAACTCAGTTCTCCTCTGAACTGTCTCTAAGACATTGGGCTCGACATAAAACAGTTTCTTCACTGTAACGTGGGAGTAATGTTATTTGATGATACTATCATTATAGAGGTAGATCAGGTAGTATTCAGAGCCTGCTCAGAGCAGTGCTTGGGATCAAGTTCACAAAATTAACATTTGCAACTTTTATCAGTATGCTGTTTCAAATAGTTCTTTCCTTTTTTAAAATCATGAAACCATAACATTTTTTTAGATGTTAGGAGAGAATAAAAGTAAAAGAGTCTAGGGGCACCCAGTGGCTCAATCGGTTGAGTGTCCTACTTCAGCTCAGGTCATGATCTCACAGTTCGTGGGTTTGAGCCCCGCATCGGGCTCTGTGCTGACAGCTCGGAGCCTAGAGCCTGCTTCGGATTCTGTGTCTCCCTCTCTCTCTGCTCCTCCCCTGTTCATGCTAAGTCTCTGTCTCTCAAAACTAAATAAACATTAAAAAACATTTCTAAGTATGCGTCTGTCATAATCCCATCTCCTTGACTCAATCTTATGTTTACATGGTACCTTCAAATATTTTTTTATATTGATTATGTCATTGGTTTGAAAGTACCTGGCATATAGCAGGTAATCAATATATGCATCCTAATTGCCTGACTGTCCAATTCCATGCAAACTACTTTGTTTTATGCTTTGGGTACCTAATATCTTATATAAGATTATGATTATAATTATGTCATATATATTCCCTGTATGTTTTTTCATAAGTTTCATGATTATAATCTTAGATATTTCAAACCCTTGGATATGTGCACACCCTGGATAGCCATTTCTCTGCGCTGCTGTACAGAACAAAAGAAATTATTACAGGCCACACTCTTCAGACTTCACCACAGTGAACAGCTCTCTATGTAGCACTTTGCCTTTTTTGT